CGCCGAGGTGAGGGTGACGGCACACGAGCTCGAAATGACCACGGGCATTATTTACGCCCCCAAAACAGAGTTCTATCTAAACGGCACAAAATGTTCAGTGCCAAAGGAACTAATTTATAGCACCTTTTAGGGCTTTAGACACTAAACCGATAATCTCTCCCGCACCCCTGGGGGAGCACGCGACATGGCACCTTTCTTCCTAGACAATTCCAGGAGAATTGCTTAAAAGTGTCCGCACGTTGCGCGATTTGTGACCGACGGAGAGGTGCTACGTTATTCTGCAATACATGTCCAGACTCGCCATCCGCCTAGTCATGTTTTGTACAAAATCGTAGCCCTTTAGGTTACTCAGAAATCGCGTTACGTACGGACACCCCTTCTTGGCATTTGTGGTGCGCCGGGCGCGCCTCACGGCAAGTAATTGCTCACCTTCATGGCCTTGCCGTCGATGTAGACGGGGCCGGCGGGGTGCGGGGCGGCGTTCTGCGGCGTGGACGCTCCCCCGGGCGAGGTGGCCGCCGCATGGTGGCAGTGGTGGTGGTGGTGCGCCAGGTGCGGGTGGTGGTTGGCGCCGGCCGGGTGCGGCTGCGGCTGCGGCCGTCGCACGAACGACAGGAACAGGTGACGGCACAGCTCGTCCGGCGTCTCCACCTCCAGGAACGTGTCCAGGAACAGGCGGAAGCCGGCGAAGTCGATGTCCTGGAGGGGAAGAGACAAGAGCATGAAGGGAGACAGCAGCAGCAGCAGCACCAGCGGCGGTAAATGTCGGGACCAGGAGCAGGGCTTCTTGTCTCTAAAGTTTTATACCCGTCTGGGACCCTGGCCCTGGCCCCTGGCCCTGGCCCCTGGCCCTGGCCCCTGGCCCTGGCCCCTGGCCCGGCCCGGGAGAGGGGGTGAGCGCCCGGTGGCTAGGCCGCCGCTGCCGCGCTGGGACTGGCGTGCACAACGGGTTGCCTACCCCTCGGAGCTCGGGCGCTCGGCGGCCCCGCATCTGCCGAGGCGGACGGCGTGCCTGTTGGCGGCAGTATGGTACCGGCGTTGGCGTTGAATCCTTTTTATTTTAATGCATTATTTTTTACGCGGTTCTTTCCCAATCCCTTCCAGTTTCTAGACTAGAGACTAATATCAAGCTCGTATTTTCCACTAAAGCTTCGTCTATGGCTGGTGCACTTCGCATCAATAGTGCTGCGTACGTCGTGCTGCTCGCACTCTGCTTGCCATAGAGGAAATTTGAGCAGTGCACAACGTTTGCAAAGACAGAGCAGAGCAGCCTGCTAGCCTGCTGTTCGTACGTCCCAGTGGTGTGGCCAAAGTTGTAAACGGCTCCCCTTCCCCCTCTCTCTGTCTGCTCTGTTGTTATTGTGTGTGTTGTGTGTACCGTGTGAGGGAGAGTGGCAACTGAGGGAGGAGCAGTTGTGCTAAAGCTGTGCCACTTATTTCCCACAGAAAATCCCTTCACACATATTTTTTCTCTTTTCAGAGTAAACGCGTTACATTCATTTGTACATTTGACTTCTTGTTTTCGTCTGGAAACAGAACAGAGAGGGAGGTTGCAGCACAGCCATTTCGGAAGCATGCTATATGCAAGAGCAACTCCATTCCCTCCCAGCCGGGAGAGCACAGCACAGCCATGGAGCTCTCTGTTTTCAGCCCTAAATGCAGCGAGGAGGGGGAAGTCTGACGCCAGAATGGGCGGTCGATGTGGGTGGCGGTGACGTCACGGATGTGCTATGACGTCAGACTGGGCGAGGGGTGTGTGAGAGAGAGCGCGCGCTCGTTGGGTACAGCGAGTGGGAAAGGGGGACGGAGAGAGTTTGGAGTTAGAGAGAGATAGAGAAAGAGGGGGAGGGGCGGGAGAGTGGAGAAGGGAGGTATACTCGGTGGCGCCCTCGGACCGAATCACAGGCGCAGCCGCCGCCGCCGCCCGCCCGCCCGCCGGCCCGCCTAGCGCGCTCTCCGGTGGGTATTTCTCGAAATGCCACACCGCCTTGCTGTTCCTAAAGTCGCAGAGGGTGGTGGAGACACAAAGTTTGAAGCGGAGCGCGGGCGGGTACCGGAGGACCGGAGGTGCGGGTGGGGGGAGCTCGCCCTCCTGCTCTTTTACGCGCCGTCGAGCGAATTGTTGCAACATCGCAGTACTCGAGTGCCAGAGGCGACAGGCCCCCGGGGACTCGCTCGCGGTGAGGCTACCTGAGCCTCTCCGCCGCCGCTGCACCTCGAGCAGGTCCCCCGAGGATGCCGACAAGGAGTAAAAAGAGGACGGCGCCAGGCCGCCGAGCGCGGCACTTGGGCCCTCCTGGCTTTCCCGGGGAGAGCACGCTCCACAGCACGTCCAAGAGATAATCTCCAGCAGACTAGACAGGCGGGCTCCTCACCACTTTGAGCCTCCTCTTGACATTCCTTCATCAAATAATCTTTTTTTCTCCTTCCCTTTCCATCCCTTCCTTTTTATTTCCCAAGCGAAAGAACGATCGGCCAATAACTACTTTACGAACTTTGGAGCGTCCGATCGGCCAGGGGCGGAGGCCGGTGGCAGAGGCCATTCAAACCTCTTAAAATATGGCGGGGCTATGAGGCTGGAATAGGGAATTAGCCGGATAAATCACTAAACAGCAGGGGGGCGGGCGACTCCGCCAAGAAACGTACCCCCCCCCCCTAACCTCCCCTCCTCTCCCCCGGTCCCTGCCTATCGCACCGCCCCTCCGGTGGTCCATAGAGCAGGATATCTTGGACGCGAGGTCATCCCTCAGGCGGCGCGGCAAGCGAACGGGAGCAGCAGGGGAGAAGAGGGGGCAGCAGGCGGGGGTAAGCATTCGCAGAACTATTAGTTCCCGGAGACAAACAGAGCCCGTCCGAGACGGGAGCTAGGCGGGGCCGGATTTGGCTGCGGGCGGTATGAATATTACTGTTTGCTCGGCGCCCTCCCCTCTCTTTGCACCACAACGGCCCGGCGCCCCCAGGGCGTCACAATCAACCCTCTACATCCAACGCGGTATCGTCGCTTCCAGGAAGAAACGAAATCCGTTAACGCGCCTATAACAGCTGTTTCTATTTTCGTCGTGTCGCAGACGATGTCTTATGCACAGCAGCGGCCGTATATAGGAGGGGCGGCGTTGAGGTGGGGGAAGGTATCCTATCGATGCGATGCACAAGGGCGGCCGGACTTCCTGTTTGGAGCGGCGGAGAATAGGGGAAACTAGGGGT